TCATGGGAGTCCCAGGGGTTTGTCAGGGGACAAGTAGGGAGTGGGGTCCTAGGGAGAAGTTGGGGGGGTCTCAGGAGGGACCAATCTGGGGACAAGGACCAGTGGGGCTTAGATAGGGGGTGGGGTTCTGGGGGGCAGTTAGGGGCAGGGGTCCCGGGAGGTGGTGATCAGGGGACAGGGTGCAGGGGGGGTTGGATGGGTTGGGGTTTCTGTGGGGGGCAGTCGGAGGTAGTGGATGGTGGCAGGGTGGGGCTACCCTCCCTCCCTGTGGAGTGTCCTATTTTTTGAATGTTAAAATATGGTTTCCCTACCTTCACAGTGCAGCTCTCCATTCATAGCAGGCTGCAGCATGAGGTCTCAGCTATCTCACTCCCTCTCCCTCTTTCCTGTTGGTAGTGGCCAAGGGAATGCTGGGAAATGGAGTTCTTTCCCTGCTCCAGGGCTGGCTCTATAGGCAGGGAGCTAACCAAGGAACTACAGCTCCCAGGGCCCCCTGTTGGTTCTCAGCTCCCATGCTGGATCCCTGCCGCTCCTGCAAATGGGCTGCCCCAAGCACGTGCTTGCTTTGCTGGTGCCTAGAGCCGCCCCCGGTAGATTTCCTGAGTCCCTGTCCAGTTCCTTAACCACAAGACCACCCTTCCCTCTCCCAAGGGGACTGGGATGGTTGATTAAATGCTAATAAGAAAAAAAAATGAGACCACCTTTGTGGCAATGCCAGTAACTTTAAAAATTAAATAAGAATGACCTGACATAGGCTTGGTCTACACTGGGGGGAGGGAGGGGGGAAATCGATCTAAGATACACAACTTCAGCTACGAGAATAGCTGAAGTCGACATATCTTAGATCGACTTAGAATCACTTACTTTGTGTCCTCGTGGCGCGGGATCGATGGCCACCGCTCCCCCGTCGACTCCGCTTCCGCCTCTTGCTGTGGTGGAGTTCCGGAGTCGACGGCAGAGCGATCGGGGATCGATTTATCTCGTCTACACTAAACGCGATCCGGCGGGTAGTGTAGACGTACTTTCAGAATATTTCAAATTCAGAAAAACTAAATAAAGAGGGTATAGAAATTGAGTTAAAATAGTTAGACTTTTCTACAAGAAGTAGAAGATGGCTTGGTCCAGAATGTTAGATCCAGCCTCTCTACAATCAGAGAAATATTTTATTTCCCCCCATGTTATTTAGTTTTAATAACTACCTCATACAGGGTTTTTTTTTTAGCCATCGATCTCAAAGATAGGTAAGTGTCAGAAGGTGAAACTGACTGTTGTATGCGCTTATATCTCCATATGCATAACATCAGAATTATCCTGAAGAATTGCATAGAATTTAAGTGCATTTCTATGGTGATAGCTACATGCTGACTTGTGTTTCAGCTATGGAATTATCCCTGATCCCTATGCAAACAACCTCTCATACATGCAGGCCTTGGCAAGATGAGGCTTGGGGGAAAGAGCAGGGGCCTTGGGGGAAGGGGTGGAGAGGGGACAGGGCCTGGGGCAGAGCAGGAGGTTGAGCAGTGAGCACCCCCCTGCACATTGGAAAGTTAGCATCCGTAGCTCCAGTCCTGGAGTCAGCATCTATGCAAGGACCCACGTATTAACCTCTGAAGAGCCACGTGCGGCTCCGGAGCCACTCAGATGCTATGATAATGAAGGCCATAGAAGTACCGTGATTATTCTTGCTGATAGAGTAGAAACAAACCGTACATACCTATCATTCAGAAAGCTCTGGTATAACCACATGAAGCAAAAGTCATCGTAAGAGCTGCCGGTTTCACGTGTCCTTGGTATATCTGTATGGATTAATCCTTCAGAGCCGTCCACCTCATCACTGATTTGGAGGAGGGGGGAAGAATACTGTTAATGTCACCCATGCCATCCGGAAGGTTACACTGATTCCCCTGTATCTTAATATTCAGTGACAGCCTGTTTCCTTCTGTGTTTTCAAAAGATGTCATGATATATGGCACCCTAGTGTTTCTTAAACCAGAGAAGTTTAGTAAAGAAAATAGCTACAACAACTGACACAAACAAAACAAGCTTGAGTCCCAGTTTTGGCTCACTTATTTAGCAAGGACTGCATGCTGCCTGGAACACTGGAACATGCTGCCTGAAACACTATATAGCGCACAGAGACATTTAATGGCTGAATAATATACTGCAAGTAAGCATAGCATTACAGGGGCTAACTCCATTGTGTTCACAGATTGGCACGGGTTGCCTTGCCACCTCCTGCTAGGCTGAAGTTGTGACGTGTAGAAGCAGTGACTTCTGATGACATATCAAACTGACCTCCCACGTACTTCCCTGACTGATTATTGATGGGATGTGCTGCAGCTGGGTGTGAAGGCTTATTGCAGTGGTGACATAGGTGAAGGCACATGTGCCATTGAAAATTATATAAATTTTCTGGGGCAAAAAATTTTGGGCCTTTAAATAACTTGCTGCTGCTATTCTGGAAGCTCGGTTCTGTTCTAGGGAGAGGAAGCCAATACAGCAAAGACAAACTGCAATGCCGGTAGATGCTTCCTTTCCAACCGAAATCCACTTTGCTGATCCTCTGAATAGGGGCAAATTGTGCTCTGATCTCCTTCCTGGCTGCTGAGGGCAGTATATGTACTAGCCAGCTGGAGTAGGGGGCTCGATATGCTCAACAATTAAGCCAGCATTCCTCCCAGTGCATTCTTGTGTAGTGTGGAAGGATTCTGCTTCATTTGTAGTATTGAAACAAAAGGAATGATTTTTCCTTCCATGACCAGCTTTCCCTTGCACACTAGCAGAAGACAGGCTATAGTTAGATAGCTGAATCCTGCTATGCTAATGATTGTATTGTACAAACTATCACATCTACTTCGGGTACGTATAGGTGCACTTTAGGGGTCAATGAACCAGACAGTGTCTCTAGCTACACCTCAGCTGGGGAACAGAAGTGGCAGCAGAGAGAGGCTGTTAGAGTTGGTTTTGGGTGGCTTATCTGTCCCCTAATATACAGGACACATTTACATAAATATGAAATTTGAGACATGGAAGTGAAATCCAGGATTATCATAACCTCATCTGACACAACAGGCACGATAAGGCAGGGAAACAGTGGCCTCAATCTTGCAACATCTCTTTATAAACTGACCTAATCCATTGTAGATGTTAGCTCTGGAGAAAGATGCACAGTATCCTTACATGGCTAGAGTTACTATATGGGTCAATGGTCACAAACAGGGATGATCAGGGGAGAAAAGATGGGGAGATAGTGATGCCCCGAGAAAAGAACACCAAGGGATGGCTTGCTCTGTCCCTCAGTAGCCCTGCCAATGGGAGTTCCTTTCCTTTCCCTTCCCTTGACCAGGTATGGTCCATGGGGATTACTTAGTGGAGAGACCAAGCCTGAGGCTTTGGAATATCAAAAAGGTACAGCAAAGTAAGGAAATAATACTAAGTTTTCCCCTTACCTTCCTCTGAGATTCTGTACGTGGTGCAGGAAAGTCTTTAGTTTAGTGAGCTTCTCTTTCGAGCCCAAGTCATTTTCAGCATGATCAATAAAGCCAGAGTCTTCCACCTGCCCCTCCAGGCCAGATGATTCGGGAACACTACTACACAAGAGTATAAGTATACAAAGCCAAAGCTTATTCTTCAATCTGCTCATTACTTACCTACTTAGTTCTTGCACTATTCCTCCTTCATTTGCTGTCGTACCAGTTCTTAAAGACAATGATCCTCAGCTGGTGTATATTGGCAGAGGTCCACTGAAGTCAGGTTTATATCAGCTGAGGGGCTGACTTTTATGTGAGAATGGCTACATAGAAATATAGGGCTGGAAGGGACCTCAAGTGGTCATCTAGTTCCAGCCACACCCACCCCACACTAAGGCGGGACCAAGTAAACCTAGACCATCCCTGACAGGTGTTTTGTCTAACCTGTTCTTTAAAGACTTCCAATGATGGGGATTCCACAACCTCCCTTGGTAACCTGTTCCAGTGCTTAATTATCCTTGTGAAAAAGTGACAAAAAACTAGTGAGAAATTTTTTCCTAATATCCAACCTAAATCTCCCTTGCTGTAAAAAAGCATAAAGCATGCCAAAACTCAGCTCAATCGTTGTGCTGAATGTTATCTTTGTAACAAGCTAAGATAAACATGTATCCTGCTCAACTCAGGCAACAAATTTTAATTCAAATTGGTTCGTTCGGGTGCCCTAAAAATCACCGGTAATGGTCTGCGTCAGTAAATTATGGAATCGTTTAGAAATGAGCCAATATGTTGATTCAGCTCAGACTTTACCGAGATTAACCTGATTTTTAACCAGGGGTCAGATCCAGCAAATCCCAAGGAGTTTAGTGGGAGCTGCAGGTGTTCCGCACTGCTGGAAGTCAAGGCAAGTGTTTGAAGGATAACATTGCTTCTCAATATTGCCTCTCTTCCTCTGCAGCATGGGTATGGGTCACATGATGGGATCATGTGGGCACATCTCACCCAATCAATTCCCTGCCATTGCAGGGGCCTCAGATAATGGTGCACCTCAATCTCCCCTGTTCTTTGCCTGTGGCACACCACAGTTTAGTCAAATCAAAGCATTACAGGAAATGAAAGTCATTGGGCTCAATGGAGGGGTATTTGGGTGGAATTTCATGAGCTGTGCTATACAGGAGGTCAGACTAGATGATCAAATGGCACATGGGAAGGAACTATTTTGTTATCTGAGGAGGCTCTTTCCTTGAGGAAAGGGCCAGGACTGAATTAGGCCTTAATGCTTCCATTGATCTTTGTGATCTAGTTATTTGCCAGAGCCCAGGGATGGGGCAGGGGTGGATTGTATTGTACTAAGAGCCTAGAGGCCTTACTTAGATTGGGGCCCATTGCACTAGGTATTGCATGGACACACATGACCTGACTGACTTCAGGGGGAGCTCGGGAGCTCAACACCTCGGCTGATAGAAAAAGAGTCTCTGCCCTCTGTAGATGAAAATTGATATAAAAGGCAAGACTTGACAGGTGGGGCAAGGGAAAGGGCATTGGACGGGTACTTGGGAGACCTCTGTTCTGTTCCCAGCTCTGCTACAGACCTACTATGTGACCTTGGGCAAGTCATTTCACCTCTGTTTGCCCACCCACCCTGTATCTGCCTGGCTTATTTAGACTGTAAACTCTTCAGGACAAAAATCTCTCTTGTGACTGCACACGCGTCTTATGATGAGATGTGTTGGGCAACCTTAATAGGTGATTCTACCAACTTTGCCTGTAATAACACACAAGTGGGCAGGGTCATATTGCAGAGAGGTGTTTACATGCTTGTGACTGTACATCAGACACAGGCAGTCAAGGAAGGCTCAGCAGTAGTAGTGAGTGGGCAGGGAACAATACAGAGCTAGCTCTGGTGTCTGAAGCTTTCAGAAGTCCGGGAAGTACACACTGCTCTCTCTCCCTGGAGGATGGGCACCTTCACTCTATTTTCTGGGTCCGTGTTTTCTAGCTGTAAGCTGATGCCTGTGACAGGTTGAATTGCCAAGAAGTCACTTTCCTTTCCCAGTATATATATATTTGTTACCTGCGCTTGTAGCCCACCAGAGACTTGATTAGTTTCTGAACCTGAGCGTTTCCTCTCATCTTGCTGAGTTCGCTGGTGAACATGCCATCAGAGTGCCTCTGGTACCTGCGCTTCGGGAAAGAGAGAAAATAAATGTGCCTGCCCTGAGGCTGCTCTCTCTGTTCTAAGGGACTTGGATTACATCTGTAATTGCTGCACATCTGGGCCTTTCCTGCTTAGATAGGCTCCTGCTCCCAACACTGTGTATTGGGATTAGGGTGACCAGATGTCCTGATTTTTATAGGGACAATCCCGATTTTTGGGTCTTTTTCTTATATAGGCTCCTATTACCCCTCACCGCCTGTCCCGATTTTTCACATTTGCTGTCTGGTCACCCTAATTGGGATTGACCCACAGGATCAGAGCTTAAAGGAGAGACAAGCTGCCTCTCTTGTGTGCATTAATTATGCACTGACGTAGGTAACTGAAAAGGAACAGTTCTAGACTGGCATATGGCTAACTCTAGATGACCTATGATCAAGCCAGCTGTTCATATTTAGAAAGGATGATTTTTTTTTTTAAATAGTGGTGCTGTTTCCTTCCCCCCAAGCCGCCACCCCCGGCAACGGCCTGGCAAAAACATCATCTAGTTGCATGAATTTCAAGGGAGTTAAATGGTGTGTCGCTTCCCCCTGTCCCTTAACGATAGCTTTGAAATGTTGGCATCTGCATAAAGGTACAAACCTTGGGCTAGATCGTCACTTTACCACCTGCCCTGGGTAAGTGGCCGTGCGCAGCTGTGCTGGCCCAGGAGCACACCAGGGAAGGAATTGCGACTTTCAGACTTGCTCCAGGGAGGAAGTCGCCGGCTACCGGACTACACCATTAGAGCAGTTCCCTTCCCCCTTCACACCAGCTCAGCTCAGCCCATGGGGGAGCCCTCGTCATGGACTGAGACCCCATTGTGCTAGGCACTGCCCAGACAGAGCAAAAATAAAAAGGTCCCTGCCCCAAGGAACATACAGGGTAAGAAACCCTTCTAAGCGATAACCTTTCCCCCCCAGGTGTGCAGGCACATTGGGTGAGTGATGATGTAGCCCCTTAGTTTTACATGCGATGAAGAGGAGAAGGCAGCAGACTGTCTCTGCTTTTTCCCTTGTTACCTCAGGCTTGGAATTGTAAGTGTACAGCGACACACCACACCTCCGTTGGCATAGACACCCAAGGGGATAGGGGATGTCCTTATTCCAGCCTTCCTCAGGCAAAACTCCCTCCCAGTGCGTTCAGAGGGAGCTATGCCTGAGTGAGCGCTGCAGGGCTGATGAATGAGCTCTCTAGAGTCAGACCTGGTTGCATGCAAGGCAGGGTTTGTCCCTGAAGCGCTAGGGTTGGATTCTGACCCATGCTGGCTCCCCTTTGGGCTGCTCAGGCTACCAAAGATTTCATCTAGAGAATTTGAAGCTGCCCTGAAGCAGCAGTTGGGGATTCCCATGTGGAAGGTAATCACCTGTGGCTTAGCTGGCTTTATGCCACTCGCTCCTAGCCCCACTCTTGTTGGAAGTAATGGACCATTAAGAGCCCCTTAGGGGGGCCATTCCAGTGTGTGCCAGTTACAGCAGCCCTGAGCTGGCTTCAGGAACCCAAGGTGCACCTGAGGATCTGGCCGCAGATTTGGAATCAGGCTCCAGAGAAGGCCAGGCAGTTTGCTTGCTAGTATTTGACTGGCTTGCTCTCTAGACCCAATCTATAGTCTCTTTTTTTGAGGCTCATCCTGATCTTTTTACACTTTGGAGTTCAGAGGTCACAACAGAACAAAGCAGGGAAGAACCAGTATTTTTTACCTTTGATTGAGGCCCACGAGAGATTTGACTAACTTCTGCACATAGGCATTTTCATTCATCTTGCTGAGTTCACTGTTAAATACCCCGTCGGCATGTCTCCGAGCCCTGGAGTTTCGAACAGAAAACCATAATGGGCGCAATGCCATGCTTTGGATGGGGTGGGTGTTTAAAACCATCCCTTTGGGAGAGGGGGGAAGCTGGGAGGCAGGACCATAGCTAGCCATTAATAGAAATCATAATTACTTTGGCCCCTAATGGGAAATGGGAGCGTTCCAAGTAGGGGTGGAGGAAGGAGGGTAAAAAGGCAAAGGTTCAAAACATAAAAGGAGCAAATATTTAAAGATTTAAATATATTTTAAACTAATTAGAAAATAAAAATGTCTTATGTTTCTTTCTAGCTAGATTTAGAAGAGCCGGCCCATCATCATGTGTGATGGAATACACCCCTGTGTTCACACCCAACACACTAGTGTAGTCATCTTTCTACAAAGTATGCCTTGTGAGGTATCATTTGAAAACTCATAATCTGCTGGTCAGTTGTCCTGGTAAAATGAGTGTGACAATATTGTGTGTGAAGTTATAAATCCCCCTGTATGATGTTATTAACACATGTTCCAAACCCCACAGCACTGCCCAGGCAGAAGTCAGGTCTGTCCTAAACAAAGGAATTGTGCTTGCCTGAATTTCCATTTAACCAGTAAACAGAGTCATTAAGCAGGGAGGGAAAACAAAGGAAATTCAAACAGGTGATTTAAAAACCAACAGGGAATATCCTTCCACACAGACTGTTTGTGGCCTGGGTCTCAGCTGGGAATGTTTTTCAAGAGGGGGACTGAAATTATAAAAAGGAGGGACAAACACCCTCAAGGCTTCCTGTGTGATGTTGGGTGAGTCACTTAGCCTTTCTGTGTTGTAGTTCCCCATCTGTAAAATGGGGAAGGTACGGTCCTATCTCCACAGGGGTGCTGCGAGGAGAAATACACCAAAGACTCTGAGGTGTTAGGGAAATAGGGTACATATAAGTACCTGAGAGCAGGGATGCTGGAACAATTTTTATAGTGGAGGTGCTGAGAGCCACTGAACGAAACTGTAAGCCCTGTATATAATGGAAACCTCTTCAAGTCAGGGGGTGCTGCAGCACCCCTTCACCCCGCACCTCTAGTTCCAGCACCTATGCCTGAGAGAGATGGGATTCTCAAGATTGGGCCACTAGAGTATCTCTTTGGGGCAAGGATCTCTATGCCTACAGGTCTAATGAAGTACCTGGCATGCTATGGCATTATGTAAATCAGGTAATGGTACTTGGTGTAGCAAAGAACTTCTTCAAAACAAAAAACACACCTCAGTTAAATGGATGTTTCACTGCAAGGAAATGTCCAATGTGCACATACTATCACCCCTCAGGGGCTGTAGGGTAAGACCCTCAGGGGCTCTACTTCAGTGAAGTCACATTGATTTACCCCGGCTGAGGGCCTGGCACTACCCATGTTTTGTCAGCAGTTGGCTGGACTAAACTAAACTAATCTATACAAAGGCACTTTTAGCGTGGAATAAGAGTATGCACACAGGGAGCGAGCGCAGAATAGCTATTGTGCTTTAAATTAATACCCTAGCTATTTTGTACTAATTTCCCCATTACTTCGCTATACAGACAAGCCCTAATTTAGTTACACTGATGCAAACTTGTGTGTAGGCACTTAAATTGGTTGAAGAGTGAATGGGTCATTTCAGTTTAGCTTATTCTGTTCTGACTGCCAAAATAAGAGTGTCTATACAAAAACTTGCACTGGTTTAACCAAATCAGTTAAAAAAACAAACAGTTGCAACTTCTGTATGTAGACAAGACCTTAGTTTTCTAGCTGCTGGATCCTTAGAACAGAAAGGCATGAAAAGAAGAAGGGGAATGGAGTCCCAAAAGGATTCTTACCTTTCCAGAGCAGGAAGCGTTGCTGAGAGCTGAGACAGGACAACCACAGAAATAACTAGCTGCCAGAGTCCAGTCAGCAGGGAGGCCATGATGTCTCCTGAAATGAAGCACTAGGTTTTGTGAGCAGTAAAATGAATGACCCTGTTATTTGTTTGGAACAATTTACCGGTTGCACAGCACCAGATATTACTGTATTGCTACGTTAATAACAGCATTGTAATGACATAAGGCAGTTCTTGCCAACAGAGAGAGCAGTCTGTGAAACATAAAAGATGAGCAGACCCAAATAATTTGCCCAGCCAGTAAATTACAAGCTGTTTGTATTCTGTATGCCTCAGTGAAACCAGTTTGGATGTTTTAATGTTGGGATTCAGTGCAATATAGAATGACTAGACTGGTAATACATCTGGGGCATAACACAATGGAGCAAATCCCACTCTGTTGTAACTGGATCTAACTCAAAACTCCAGGGATGAATTTATATTTAGAAATGGGAGGATTAAAAAAAAATAATTCACCACCACTGATCACATTCAGCTGTCAAAATACCTATAGGAAATCCAAGTCTAATATTTCAAACTGTCAGGCAAAAAAGTATATGCAACACTATAATTCATCCGCACAAGCTGGGGGCTTGCCAGTGCTCATAGCCATGTGCAAGCATCCACTTGACACTAGAAAGGGGTGAGTAGCCAGTCTCAACATCTGTACCTTCAAGGAAAATCTTCAGGCAGATGTTTATATATGTACTGTTTAATTTTTAAAAAAAAACCTGAAAGATGATCACCTGCAGTTGGCGCATGAGATGATTTATGGACATTGGGGTGTAGCCATAGCATAAATAAGGACAAATCCCTCAGAGAAGGCAAGATCATAGGAAAGTAGTGGGAAGAGAAGCATGTTCTACTCCATGCTGATGAATGGAGGAGGAAGTGTACAGTGGCAGCCTGCAGTGAGTGCTTACTCATGAGAGGTTCCTTTCAGTGAGCTCTGTCTAAGCTGGCCAGATGTGTACTGGCCTCCCTGTTCCCCAGAATCCCACAGAAAGAATACCTCAACTTCACTAAATTCCAGTTAGAAGGATCACCCCTGAACCAGCAGATACCCAAACAGCTCCTTTCCGAAGCCCATGCCATGAGCACAAATTCCTTTAGCTTACTGCACATCTCATGGATGGGAATGTCTCTCTCATATATAAGCAGTGGCCCATTCCCCTTGTGTATGCTTATTTTCTACAGCCTGCTTCTCCGGCTGTCGCCATCCTGAGCTGTACTCGTTATGCACTGCAGGTGATTTCACAACTTTATTGAACTTAGTCATTTGCGAATGGTGCCATGTGTTCTTATATGCCAGTAGATGTCACACTTTCTATTAATTATGTCCATATCTCACTGTTACGTGGGACTTTCACATAGAACCCATGAAACGTTCCCCAGTCTCTTTCTGTACCTTGTTATAAGTGTTTACAAAAAAGGAAGTAGACACATGCACTAATCTAGATTTTACATTGCTCATCAATGGTGTTTAGAAAGGAAGGATGGTCAAGCGGTTAGGGCTTGGGAAACTTGGAGTCTAGTCCCTGCTCCATCACTGATTTCTTGATGTGAACCTGGGCAAATTACTTCGCCTCTCTGTGCCGCTGTTCTCATCTGTAAAATGCAAATAATACTTCTCTACCTCACAGAGGTGAGCTGAGGAAAAATAAAGATTGTGATGTGCTCAGGTACTGTGGTGCCATTGGATAGATACATTAAATCACTATCCAGATCAAAGATATCATGGTTTTCTGCTTGCAAAAAAATAGATCCTAAATTTCAAAATAACACACATAATTTTCTCCCAAATGTCTTGGGTTCAAAACCCTCAGTGCATATCTGTGTGTGTGAGAGCTAACAGCAGAATACTTCTGCAGAATTCAGGGTCCTCATGCTTGGATGCTCATATCAGAATCTGAGCAGACAGTATGAAAGGTATTACTTAAGGTAGCATCCAGTTTGCTAGGAGAGCTGTGAGGAGGACAGAAGTTCTGTTTCACAAAGGATTTTGAAATTTGGCTTTGTTCCGAATCAGAATGAAAACCAAACATTTTTGAAATTGTTTCTGAAGGAAACTGATAATACAAAATTAAAAAAAATTCAAACCAAAAAGTCCCTTCAAAACAAAAAATCAAAATGTATTGTTCTGAAAATGTCAAAATGGGACATTGTTGGAACTTTTGCCCCATTTTTCTTCTGAAACAAAATTCCAGCTAAATCAACCTAGTTTTCAATTTTGACAGAACTACGTATTCTGACAGAATATGGTTCCCCTGCAATTCCTCTGAGGAGTTTACTATCCAAAGAGAGAGAAGGAGAGAGAACCAAACGGAACAGGGACAATGGACAATTTGCATGCAACATATATGCAAACTAACTAGATTCACCATAAGCAACACAGCATGTGCAGAGGGGAGGGGCCTTGCAGATGAGGTCTGGGAGGTTGTACTCTGCACAGGGAGCCCCATGGAAGAAGGCACAGAGATGACTGGTGAGAAGTTGACAAACAAGGATCAGCTGTCATTAGCCTCTTCGCCTCTTTGCATGCATACAAATCTTGCTATTGGTCAGAACATTTTTCAGCCCTCTCTAAACCCCTGATTTTTGGAATTGACTCACTGCCTTTCTCTTGCCCTACCACATGAAGAATTTTCATTTACCTAACATTCATTTTTAACAGCTGACCCATTATTCTCTTAATATAACCAGGAGGAATAAAAATCATGAGCTAGGGCCACTGGATAACCATATTCTACATTGCAAAGAAAGAGAAAACATTGAGATTCATAAGAAATGTGCCCCTCTGTCTAGTTCACCTCCCATTCAGCACCATTAACAAATGTCAGCATAGATTTTCAATACTTACGGTGCTATGTTCACGGAGGGCTTCTTCACTCTCTCACACCCGCGATGTGCCACTAATCCATCGTTGCCTGCATCCCCTATAAATATTCAGCCCTTATCAGGTGCACTAAATTAGGTAAAGATGGAAATGAGAGTAACATTTATTAATGGCATTGATATCCTGGCTGAAATGTATTTTTAATTGCATTGTAAACTCAAACAGGTAGGTACAGCGGTTTGATTGACCATTTTGCCAATGTATGTTGGTTCCTGTTTCGGGCATATAATAAAACTAATTTGTCAGACAAACATCCCTGGACTGATACTGATGATATCAGTAATGACTAATTGGTTTTGAATGTCACCAGCATGACCTCTCCTAGCTTTAACTACCTGCTTGATGGGGCTTTAATACAGTTTTTCCTCTTTTTGTTAGAGTTTTGTTTGCAAATAGCCGAGAGTGTGTGTGTGTATCAAGGAACGCTCTTGATATTGGACATATATTAGAATAATTTGCGTTAAGTAATTGTCAAGATTCAGTATCTGCACAGTGGGTGAGGTTCTGGAACACCCTCCCCGTAGGAGTTGTGGAGGCAAACAACCTAATTGAGAGCTGGAAAAATGTATGCGTGCAGTTGCCTGATGGAGTTGCTTGTGATGGTGGGGGGCCGGGCTGGGACTCACTTATGTTCCTAAAGCTCATGCTTCAAAGTTTCAGCTGGCCACCAGCAGGGGTCAGGAAGAAATTCGCTTCCCCTTACCCCCCAAATGTTTTCTGTGAGGGATTTTTATGTCCTTCCTCTGAAGCATCAGGGATGGCCACAGCTGGAAGTGGGATATAGGATGGGGTTGGCCGGGGCTCTGGGGTGGCACTGAGGTGATGGGCTGGCTGGTCCCTGCTCACATGTGCAGGGTCTAACTGATGACCATAGGTGGGGCTTGGAAGGAGCCCCCAGATCAGTTGGCAGTGAGCGTGGGTTTTTTTTTCCATCCTTCTCTGCAGCATGTGGGTGGTTCACTTGTCAGCATTATCTGAGTATATCTCACTCATTGCCCTGCTGTTGCAGGGGCCTTGGGCACTGGTGGACCTCGATCCCTCCTATTCTCTGCCTTTATCACATTATTGTCTAGTCTCCTGTGGGCTGTAATACTTTAGGTCTAATTTCAGTTGCTGGGTTTAGTGTGCAGGAGCTGCATAGTGTTGGTGATCTGTGATACACAGGGAGGTTGGACTAGATGATCTAGTGGTCTCTTCCGGTCTTAAACTCTGACTCATTTTAGGGCAAACCTTGACTGGTCTTAACTAGGAATAACCCTGGCTTTGGAATAACAAGGCTGTTGCTGCTGAGACTGGAGTTGCCTGGACAGACCTGGGAAGAGTCATTTCCTGGAATAGCAGAGTTTGCTGCAACTCAGCAGTGGGCTGCCTAGTTAGAATTGTGTGGGGAATGGGCACGGGCCTAATCAAAATACACTGACGTCAGTGGAAAGACTCCTATTGACTTCTGTGCCTTTTGGATCAGGCTAGGTTCAGTCAATGTTCTGGAAAGAGAGAGAAAATAGAATTATGCCCTTTCCTTGCATCTTCATGACATATTAGGTAGCGTGAAAGTATTTTTCATTAAAAAAATGAATCTCCTTGTCCTCTACCACAGAAGTTTGAGGAATATTAAGTCTTGTCTTCCCTGTTTTTTTCTGGAGGATTCTTTGGAGGAGTAGAGGATTGGAGCTTTCTCAACTCTCAGTTGAAGAGATGGAAGGGACCTGAATTTTCACAAAGAGATCTTTTATCCTGACTGTTTGGCACACATTAGAGTTAAATGAGGGTTAACAAAAACAAACAGATAACAGAGTTATAAATAATCTGACGGGGGGCCAGAATGTGATTCTAAGGCACAGCCTTGAACAAGGAATGGTGTGTAAATTTCACCACCCTGGGAGGAGCCCCCAGAGGCATTTTGACTCAGATGCCCTTCTTAGGCACGGGAGCTGAATCATGGATGTACAAACCAAGAAGAAAAAAGCTTTCTGGCTTCTTTTAACATCAGAGGTAGCTAAAAAGGACCCAAGCAATTTTCTCCTGTTCTAGGGCTCCTTTAATAGTCCTGAATTTCACACCACCTTTGATGGAGCTCGATTAGTGTTTTGCAAAGCCCTTTGAAGCACTCAGATGAAAGGCACAAGGAAAAGATTCATCGTGATGATTAATTAAATGGCCCCATGATGGCAGCAGAGGGTGAGTAATAGGAGAAAGCTTTTGGATGCTTGAAGAGTGACTGCCTCTGAGAACTGGGGTAACTGGACTCACCTACCCTCCTACTAAAAATACATTTTCCCTTCTCACCAGCACCGAATGAAAGGGCTGTGGAGAGCTGGAGAATGCAGAGCGTTCTTTCAGCATCTGCGGATTCGAAGGAAGTCTTTAAATAGAGGGGTTTTCTCTCCTTTTAAAGTTCCCCTGTTGTAGGAAGCTCTC